TGCCTCCTCGTCCGCTGTAGGATTGTTCGCCGTCCGCTTAATTGTAGACACTCCGTCCACAAACTTAGTCCGGAAGATCACATTCGCATTGCCAAACATGCCCTCCTTCAAGGAAACGACAATAAACTGAGACCCAGAGAAATGTCGCCGCAACATGCGACCAATGTTTTGCGTGTGACTCAGGTCGAGAGCCGCGTCAACTTCGTCTAAAATGTACATCGGTGCAGGCTTGAAACGCAGCATTGCGAGGATGAGAGACAACGCGATCAGACTCCTCTGCCCACCTGACAACTCAGACAATGAGTCTTTCCAGACATCTCCAAACGCCACTCGGATCTCAAGCCCGTCCTCCACAGATTTTCCCTCTGGCGGCTCGAGTCGCGCTGATGTTCCTGGAAGCAAGTCCGAGAATATATTCCCAAAGTCACTGTCAACTTTGCGCCACGTCTTTTCCAACGCCACCATCTTCTTTTCATCCAACCCTGCGATCACCATCTCGATTTTTTCCTTGTCCTTCTCGATGATTCCTTTCCTTCTCATCAAGTCTGTGTACTCTTGCTTAGCCGTTTCGAAAAGATGCATGGCTTTCTTGTTGATCTTTGTAGATAGCTCCTCTTGTCGTGCCTCCAACGATTCAAGTTGCTCCGTCGTGTGTTTCACTCTCCGCGCATTAAATTCGTACTCGGAGCCCTCTACCCCAAACTGATCGAAATCCTGTTCGATCCAAGCATGCGTCTTCTCCAGCTTTTCAACAGTCTTTTCGGCCCCAGATCGGCCTCTCGCCGCTTCCCGAATCTTACTATCCAACTTTGCTTTCTCGAGAGATAACCCTTCCATCTTTTCGCCCCGGTCCTCTACATCCTTCTTCGCTCTCCTCAAAGCCTGGTTAGAGCTCGCAAGACGTTCCCGCTCTTCTCCCAACCCCTTCTCAGCTTCCTCAAACTCATTTCGTGTGTCCGCAACCCTGGTCTCCAGGATCGAAACTTCTTCTTGCAGTTTGGCTACAGACGGCTCAAGTGTCTCCGACAATTGCTTACTCAGTCGTTTCACCTCTTCTTCTGTTGTCTCTTTTTCTACTAATAACGTCGAGTGTCGATCTTTTAACTTCTGCAGGTGCAATGAAGCTTCCATTCTTGACGCTCGTGCTCTTTGCAACGCAGCTTCCGCTTCTTTGAGGGCCTTTTCTTTGGCAGCCTTTCCATCCTTCATAGAATGTTCTAATTCCTTCACTTTCTCCGATTCTTTAGATGCTATCTCCTTCGCAGCATTCAAAGCCTCTGGGATATCCTGGTTGTACCTCTTTCTCAGCTCTTCTACTTCTGAAAGTAATCGTCCAGTCGCTGTTTCCCGCAACCGATTTTCTAGCAGCTCAGCTTCATTCTGGCGAACCTGCAGCATCATTTGGAGTTGCCGGAATCGCTTCCCTTGTTCGCTTATGCGAAAAAATTGAGTTTCTAATTCTCGTAAATTTGCGCTATGGACTCTGAGCTCTGCCTCTGCATCGTTGAGCTCTCCCAGTCGAGTTAAAACAGAAGCTCCATGCCTCGAAGAAGAACCCCCAGAAGCAGTACCTGAAGGATCGTAGGTGTCGCCCTCCAGAGTTACAGACCGAGTTCTCACTCGATTGTCGAAAGTAACTCGCTTTGCGGCGTCCATGTCAAAACAAATCAATGTGCGACCAAAAACATGTTCGATAGCGTTAGCAACCTCATGGCCATACCCGACCAAGCTAAGAGCCATTTCGGTTGAAGGCTCGATCTGCTTTGCCGCCTCAAGCTTCGACCTTGACAAAATTTCATGACGAATCTTGTTCAAGGGCAGAATCGTTACCCGTCGAGCTAATTTGCCATTCCTCAGAATGTCATTCGCAGTAGAGTCAGTGTCAACGACGACTTGATAGAGGCGTCCACCGGCTGTTACCTCGATTGCCGTGGTCACTTTCGGATCCTTCACTCGAATCAATTTTGCGACGAGACCATGAACTTTGCTTCTATCGAAATTTGGACGAGGGTCTGAATACTGAAAGTCGCATGACCCAAGGCGAGCAGAGAGATGATCCACTTTCTCGCGAAGCTGGGCAACTATTCCCCGCTCTTCTTCAAGCTTGGACTCCAACGTCGTGGCTGCGTCGGCGTCAAAGTCGAGCTCATGAACTGCGAGTCTAGCATCAGAAATTGCCTTTTCTGCTGCTTTGCGTTCTGCCTCTAAACTCCTAATATTCGCTCTATCTTGCGCGAGTTGCTCTGCCTTAGAATTCAGTTCGGAGTACACGTGCTTCTGTTCCAACTTTAGAGACTCGATCTGCGTTTGTGCAGTTGACACGGCTCTCTTGGCACTGTCAAGTTGGTCGATTGCAGATCCCACAGCTCCAGACTGAGAACCCTGACTAGCTCCCGTGAGCAAAGCAGTTTCTGCTTGCTCTAATTCTTCTGAGATCTTCTCCAGATTCTTCTCCGCCGGTTGTACCTCGCTTTCCGCAGTCGCAATGTTTTTTCTCAGGAGGTCAAAGGCGGCTTTATGGCTGTCAATTGCGCTGTTCACTTCTTCGCAACTCTTGGACTCGGTTTCCAGAGCCTCCTTCTGATTTGTCCAAAGACTACGTAACTTGACAATTTTTTTCCCGAGGTCGTCGACCTTGCTCTGTTGTTCCTCGAGCGCGCCGTCGTCGAGTTGCGCCGCGCGCTCCTTGGTGAGCTGCGTCACTTTTTCAGTGGCGTGTTTCTGTTCAGCCTCTAAAGAAGATAATAAAGATGTGATTTCATCAACCCGGTCGGACAATTCAGACCCTTCCCCTGAGTTTTTCTTCAGCATTTTGACTGCCCGATAATACTGATCAGCAATGAGGTATCGCTTTAACTTTTCGACTTCGTTGTTGTTTGTCGTCCACTCCAAGTAGTGCTTGCGCTCGCGCTCAAGTTTTTGAAGGGAAGGGTTGATCTTGTCCTCCAGGAGAGAATTGATTTCCTCGACTTTCCTCTCCTTCCTCTCAATGGTCCTGAGAGCTGCTTCCTTCTTATTCTCGTACATCTTAGTTCCAGCGGCCTCCTCAATCATGCTCAACACCTCTGGTGGCTTCATATTGATGACTTTTGTGATTCGCCCCTGCATAATAAGAAAATGCGGGTTATTGACATTGAGCCCGACGGAATGAAAAAGATTTTGAACACGGCCGGGTTGCGCATTGGTGCCATTAACAAGATACTTGTTCCGCCCACCGATGACAATCTGCCTAGTGACAGTAATCTCGTCGACTTGCTCGTATCCTACGGGCGCCGTTTCCTTTTCGCGGTTATTGAAAACAAGAGTCACGGAAGCTTTCGTTACTCCTGCTTGCCCGCCCTTGTAGACGAGCTCTTGCAAGGAAGACGCGCGCACTTGTGATAAGTTAGTGATTCCGAGAACGAAGCATATGGAGTCGAGGACATTCGATTTTCCAGATCCGTTGAGACCGGTAATTGCGTTGAATGAAGGGTCGAAGTCTGAGACTGTCGTGCGCGTCGCATAACTTTTGAAGCCATCGATGATGACCTCCTTGAGAAACATTTTTCAGACGCCTCAAGAAACGAATGCCAGCGCAATCACTCCCCGGGATGGCGTCTTTCCTTTACACCGGACGTCGCAAAGCAGTGCAGCATGAAGAAAGGCAAATCAATGCCTTGTACTGAAAGGCGATATTGTGGCGGGGGATGCGAATGAGCCGCAGTCTACAGACTGGGCAGGGTTGTCCACACAAACCCCATTCTGTGCACATATTCGTTTTGGCGCCAATTTTAAATGTTTGAACGGCTCCCAGTCCATTTTTTTGTATTTTAACATTTTCATGCCAACTTCAAAATTACGAGGGAGAAAGTCATGGCGGCCCTCGCTCCTCCACTATGATGTGTGTTAAGCATTTCTAAACACTCTGCAAACTCCCCCTCAATGGCACAAAAGGCGATTCACATTCTATCCAGCTAACAACATATCATTAAAAATTTGCTCATGCAGCGATCATCTGTTTGAAGATGTTCCCCGTACAGTACCCTTACTGCGATGTGTGTTCCAGGGTGATAGACCGACCTATCGGATTCCGCTATGATCGCCTGGAAGAGTAGTCAGATTACCCTAAAACGCCGGGAGATGGTCTAACTTGTGGTAACATAATTTAAGGCATAATCGGGCCCATATCCAGTTTATTTTGTTTCTGGTCGGTTATTGCAAGAGGATACCTGTGTAGAATGAAAGCTCTCGCTTTAGACTCACCGTAGATCGTTCTACTGTTTAACATGTGCTTTGAAAGAGCTAGTAACAGCGACAACTCAAAGCTAAATATTATTCTGCCAGCGTAGAGCAATTCGGTTCTAATCTTCACGGGTTAAGTACCCTTACAGAAGTAACTACGGCAATGAGTTGATGGGAAGACAGTCCCTTTCATCTCATTTGGACCTCGACGACCTTTTGACATCGAAGTGCACCTCACGAATCTGTGACCTGGTTTACAAATACTTTCAGAATTTTGTAATCGTATTTTAGATGGTACCCCAAGGGTACAGAAAGCAATACAGTTGCAATTACTCTGGGATATCGTGGACACGTGGACAACGCCACGGGGAACGCCGACGACTCTCCTCTCGCTTCTACAACCGCTTTGGGCGTGTCACGCCGAGCACACTTCCGCAAAGACGACAACACAATTTCCTACCGACAAAGGTGTGCGTCATCATACCGCATTCTTTACAACCCGCGAAAAGAAGCACAACATGAAGACCATGGCGGCCACTGACTCACTAAGCGGACCGGCTGGCATGGGTGGGGATTGGGGCGAGGACGTTGACTACCCGGTTTCCGGCGGAATCCCTCCGCAAGAAGTCAAACAAAACAACGATGGCACCAAGACCGTGATCGACTACGGAATGAGCGAGGACGGATATCTCTCGAAAACCATAACAGTGGTCAAGGTCGAAAAGGTCTCTAAGACGGTGTCGAAAGCAGTAGCGGCGCGCAAAAAGTGGGCAAAGTTCGGTGACAGCGCCGGCAAAGGCGCGGGGCTTGAAAAAGGTATCACGACGGTATCCATCGACGAGATCAACGTAGAGTGGGTGGACAACGAAGATGCCGGGGAGGAGGAGGAGGAGGAGGCTGACTTTGCGGAGATCGCCGCGCGGGACATTCAGTCGCGCCTCAAGATGGAGCGTTTCCGTAGACGACAGGAGGAGCGCAAAATGGGTGTGGCGAATTGGGCGCAGCTCATGTCCATTGAAGCCGCTGCGAAGAACCCCAACGCCGGGCCAGCACCCGGGTTGCGCGAGGGTGGCTCCACTGGGGGCGGGAACAAGTATGTACCGCCGTCGAAGCGTGGCGGAGCCGGAGCGGCTACTGTTGGGGAGAGCATGTACTCGAGGGATGATTCGGCGACGGTGCGGATTAGTAATGTTAGTCGAAACACGGAAGAGGCGGATCTCGAGGAATTGTGCAAGAACTTTGGTCCCATCAGGCGCATTTTTCTCAGCCGCGATCGCGAAACTAGGGAGAGCAAGGGATTCGCGTTTGTGGCGTTTGTTAATAGCTCGGACGCGGCTACTTGCATTGCAAGACTAGACGGGTATGGATACGATCACCTCATTCTTTCGGTGGAATGGTCAAAACCGAAGGAACCCCGAGACGGCGAGGCACCGCGGCATTCGTTCGCTCGTTAGATAAGCACACGGTAATAACTGTAAAGCGTGAAGCGTTCCTTGCCACTATCGTTACATATTCGGAAGGACAGGAAGAAACAACGAACTGTTTGGAGACTGCAATCGATGCCGACACAGTTTCTACAACATTCCTTCTTTACTTGAATGTACTGCTCTTGTTCTCATCACGCGGACTTTGTGAACTTTTCTCCGTCGTCGCCGACGCAACAACAGAATTCGCACCCTTCGCAGCACTTCGACAATTGGCAAACGTATGTTCCTCCTTTCTGCATCTCTCGAACATGTACTCCTCGGAAATCTGTGAATCTATGCAATCCGCGTACGCTTGGAACGACTCCTTACATGTCTCCATGGCGGACTTGAGAACACCCAAGGCACACGCCTGAACGGCTTCGCCTTTGTCCAAACAGGCGGCGGGGTCCTCGTCAGCGACTTTGCATTGCAGGAAGTCGCGGTTTGTAGCATCGCACGTGACACCGATCTCCTTTGCGGCGGCATACAACACAGATGAAGTTGCCATCGTGATGATTCCGGCCCAAGACGAGGAGAAAAGAAAGGGTACTGAAGGCCTCGGTGAAGACGACGTGGTGGAGGAGCCCTGTATAAAAAAGACTTCCGCGAAAGTTAGAGGGAGGTCTATCGATGGCGCGCGATGCAAGACTCAGGAGTTGGCCACGGACCTCCTGGTGAAATTTCCAAGTACGATGAGCCATTTGTAATTACAACCAGAAAGAGGCGGCAATGCGTTGATTGGAGAGATTAGACCTCCGAGCTTGAACGTTCTACACGTGTAGTAAACACACTTGGGTTTCCTTGAACCTCGGTTCGAACTACTGTACAAGTCGCTTAGCCATGTAGCGTCACCAACGCTCAGCTCCATCCCCTTTCGCACCTTTTGCTCCGGTGTTACGCACCGTCCCGTCTAGACTCTAGCTGCTGCCATTTTCGCAGAGTCAGGACGACCAACGCATTGGTACTGGTAACTCAACTCTAACATCCACTCCTCGCCCCGCCTCTCGCGTTGCACACATCGATACGTTCCCTCTCTCGTGTGCCCGGGAAATGCTCACAGAGCGATGACGGGCGCCGCCTTGCCGGCTTTCCTTTCCCCCACGGCAACCGCCTCGAATGGCCTTTCCAAATCTATCGCCGCCACTCTTGCAGCCCTCGCCATCGCAACGCCCGCTTCCGCACCATCCTCAACCCCTACCTCCCTAACTGCCCTTCCCCCCTCCCACCATTTCACCATCAGGAAACCTACCTCCCGCTCCCGCCTTCCCACTGCCTTTAACCTCTCACTCCCGAAGCGTTTCCGTCGTCAACAAAAAACCCCAGAGCAGCTACAAGCCGAGCGCCATCGCCGGCGCCTGCTAAATGAAGCTTGGGGCGTGTTACGGGAACGCTTCGTCGACGAGGGTTCTATTAATTGGACCCGTCTCCAGTTCCGTCTCGAGTCCCGCAAGCTCGACACAGATCAGGACCTTCAGACAAGTCTTCAATGGCTCTTTTCCCACGCCCACGATCCCTTCACACGCTATTTATCAGCAGACCAACTGGATTCTGTGAAGAATGATATTGACGGCGAAATGTGTGGCGTTGGCATCGTGTTTTACGCTGAGAATCAAGGCTGGCGAAGGACAAGGCGCGTTGTTATTAAGAATGTGGTGCGCAAATCCCCCGCTGCTGACGCTGGTTTGCTGATCGGCGATGAGATCACTGCCATAGATATGGTTGACGTGCGTCGCATGACGTTTGACGAGGCTACACAACGATTGCTGGGGAAGGAAGGCAAGAAGGTGCTGATTTCCTTTTCCAGAGACGCTCCTAATGGGAATGAGAATGGTGTTGAGCTTAACGTCTTGCTCACGCGGCGTCGCTTCTCGGTCCCGACGGTGACGAGCGAGATACTAGAGGCGCCCGGCGTCGGGGCGATTGGGTACTTGCAGGTGCGTGAGTTTACGGCCAACACGGCGTCACAGACACGTAAAGCGGTGCGCGAAATGACTGAGAGGCAAGCAAAGGTATTCGTGCTGGATATGCGCGGAAACCCTGGTGGGCTGGTAGACAAGGCTGTGGAGGTGGCCAAGGAGTTTTTGGATCGCGACCGGATCGTGGTGCGGTTCGTCGGAAGGCACGGTGCAAAGACGATGGAGCGGTCCGGGTGGCGCTTTTTCTGGCGGCGGCATGGGCACGTGACGAAGGAACCAATGATCGTAATTGTGGACTCTGAAACGGCGTCGGCGTCAGAACTGGTGGCGGCGGCGCTGCGCGATAACTGTCGGGCGGTGGTGGTGGGGAATTCGACGTTTGGAAAGGGATCCGTGCAGGCAATCGTGCAGCTGTCGGACGGGGCGGGTGCGGCAGTGACGGTGGCCAGGTATCGCACGCCGAGGGACAAGAGTATTGAGATGGGGCGCGGGTTGCGACCGGACTTGGTTAAACGGAACCTGAGCGAAGATGGTGCCGGGGTGGTGCACGAGCTGTTTGGACGGGCGGGGGCGAAAAGGATGCGATGGGTCGTTGGTCGGTTGGACAAGTGCGTCGCGCCAGGGTGCGTGCAGGGCAAAAAGGGGCGGATGGGGGATGCGAGGGCAGGCGCGAAGGCGAGAGGCGAGGGAGGGGAGGCAGGGGCAGTCTCAAAGACTGGAGGTAAGCGTTAAGGGCTCATCGAGTGGTGTCTGTATAGGGCTGAGATCGTTACAATAGAAGACGAGGCAGTGAAATGGACAAAATCGGGAAAGAGGTCCGTGGCGCCGCGTTTTTTTTTTTTTTTTTTGTTGTTGTTACAGCGGGGCTGAAGATTGTCGCAAATGCAAACAACGTGGGCATCATGTCGTTGGTGTGGGCAGGACAGAGAGGCAGATGTGCGATCAACTGGTTAGAGGGCTGAAATCATGTTGATGTATTATGGGGTAATCGTTCAGTACACCAGCCGACGGCATGTTTCATATACTGTAGTATTATTCTCTATGATAAGTACAACGTACCGTATGTTCTACGGACTAAACTTGTGGTCGTTTTTCTTAGCTACGAAAACGCAGTCTCATATAGAATCATTTAATAGAGAAGAAGGGTTTCATGAGTCGAGGGCGAATTATGATGCCTTGGACACGCCCCGTGGCGTACTAGTTGCATGAGAATTGTGAGGACGCTGAGCAGTTTGTCAAGTAAATCGAAAGAGCGGGCGAAGTTGTGCATTGAGGTGTGTGGGTTGAGGTGTAGGTTGAGGTGTGGGTTGAGGCGTGGGTTTGCATTGAGGTGCACCTTGTCGACAATCTACGTTTGGCCCTGTGCGCTGTATTCAGGACGAGAAAGTGATACGACGAGGGCCAGACAAGATGAACAGGCACTGCACTCCAACATTGTCATGTGTGTTGTAGGTCGGCCTCCAGCAAAAGGAGTCGCAAAAGGGTGTCGTTGGGCTGGATTGTAGATGAGTTGGCGCGATTGTGAAACATCCAATTACGCGCTCCTTAAATGGGATATTCCAAGCAGGGATGCGAGGGGAGTCATGCTGTGTTGCTACCCTTCGAAGGGTAGGGCCGGCCGCTTCTGCGCCCTGGCTCCCCCCTTCTAGTTACAATAAAGGTCGACCATTCAAAAGGGTAGTTTTTACTGTTAGGATCTTTGCAACAGATATGTGCGGTGGACTGGTTGTTGCATGCTTGCCGTTCAGCAACGGATACCCTTGGGTATATCTCGCGATCGGTTAACCGGTGAAATGTAATTGGTGTACACGTAAAGTGTACCCTTGAGGGTAGTGTGTCACGAATAGATATACATATACATGTAAGTAGAAGAGCCCGTAGAAGAGTATGTGAGCCGTGCGACAACGGAACTGGACTCTATAAAAAAGAAGGGAAAATTACAATCAAAGTCCGCAGACGAAGTCAGACGAAGGGGATCCTGTAATAATACAGTATATACACTTGTGTACTTGCTATAAATATTTCTGGTTTTGCAGACATTATTTTGCAGACATTATTTTGCAGACAGAAGCAGCGTGTCGGGATGTCTCCCTCGCCGCATCTCTCGCGGCATCTCTCGCTGCATCTCACGCTGCACCTCTCGCTGCGCTCCACCCGCTAACACGCGCGGGACTTGACCCCTTCCCCCGACCCCCTCCCCCAACCCCTTCCCTCGGTACTGGAACCAGGGCCAGCGTCCTTTTGTTCGGTCGGCGCCACTACACTAAAACAAGTATTGCTCGGTGCACCGGGCCAGTGTTCAGGCGCCAAACAGGCCATAGCAAAACGAAGACACTTTGAACGGATCGCGCTTCACTCTATACGTTGGAGTCCTTGTGCCATACCAATTAGGCGTCTGCTGCGCCCTGTACAGTATCATCGACACCGCGGATCGCCAATGGGCGCGCATTTCCACGCGGACACGGAAAAAGTCTTTCCCATAAACAACCGACAGCCCGCTCTACCCGCAATCCGCTGACACTCGCACTGCCTGCGTGCCCTGTTACTCCCAACGGGGGAAAGGTGCGAAAGACGGGTGCAAAAGACGGGTGCAAAAGACGGGTGCAAAAGACGGGTGCAAAAGACGGGTGCAAAAGACGGGTGCAAAAGACGGGTGCAAAAGACGGGTGCAAAAGATGCGTGCAAAAGATAGCGTCACGCTACGTACGGTGTAGCGCCTGGCCCCCCTCGACCACCGCCGACTTTCGGTTCATACTAGTAGACCGGGGGGTGATGGGGGCGATGTGAAAAAGGGCCAGGGCCCGAGGATGCTTTCGCAGGCGCAGCAAGCAAGGATACATAGTGTATACAAGCAAGGATATAGCCTTTACAACCTGCAACACGTGAATCCTGGAGGGTCAATAAAGCCTACTCGTTGAGGTGAAATGAAAAAAGTTGTTTCTTTTCCGCCACCCACACGCCAAATCTCACCCTCTCCACCGTTCGATTCCATGTTTCACCAGGGGCCCGGTCCTCATCGCAGAGACATACGGGTACTCCGCTCAATACGCTCCATCGCTTCGCCCTCTCTGTTTGCTATCACAAGCCCCCTTCAAGCCCCCTTCTTGTCCCCCATTCCTCAGCCACAGCGCCACACTGCATCACCGTGCACACATCGCAATACCCCAAGTTAACGGTTGAAGATGTATGTAAACATCCCCAATACTCAACACGCCATTGGTACTTGCCGATAACCCTCGTCGTGAAAACATCCGCAATCGGCAATTCCTACGGCACCCCCCCTCCTCCCCCACCCTCCCGTTTCTCGCCAACCCGCATCCTAATCCATTCAATTACAACCTAACCCCCCCGTACATTGTCAATCGTTCAAGTCCTGCCCACCCTCGACCCCTTGTACGCATCCTTTTGAGCCCTACATGTCGCCTCGCTTGATCCTCTCCTGCCCACAAATCTCCCTTTCACCTTACCTTCCACACTTTTTGACACTCCCTCCCACCTTGCGCAACCCACCCTCCAGCTTTCCCTTGACCCCTGCCGTACAATGCTCCACCAAACCTAGTATATAAACCAACACTGCCCTTCTACATCCATCACCCCTTCTCCCTACCATCCTACCTTTTTACCCTTCCTCATACACCCAACTTCCTCCTCCTTTCTCCTCCTTCCCCACCACCACACCCCGCCGAAAAAATGACTACCTCCCCGCAGGACATCACCGATCATGTTGCCGACACCATGGCCGCCACAGAGCAGAAGGCTGCTGACGTAGCTTCCACTGTCAAGGAGTCCGTATCTGAATCCGCCTCTAAGCCTCAAGAGGAAGCCACCACCGCCGCCAACGGTGTCCAAGAAGCCGCCGCTGACGCCGCCGCTACCGCTGAAGACAAGGCAACCGATGCTAAGGATACCGCAGCTAGCGCCGTCGCCGAGGCGAAGGACACTGCCGCAGATGCCACAGAGAAGGCCGCAGATACTGCCGCTGACGCTCAAGAAACCGTTGCCGAAGCAGCTACAGATGCAAAGGACGCTGCAGCTGACGAGGCCTCAACGGCCCAGGACGAGGCCACCGACGCAGTTGCAGCTGTAGAGGAGACCGCCACAGATGCCGCATCCACCGCCAAGGACGAGGCCACCGACGCCACCGCTGCCGCTACGGAAACCGCCGCCGAAACCACCTCCGAGGTCAAGGAAGTCGCTAGTGACACCACCACAAGCGCTCAGGAAACTGCAACTACCGCTGCTGAAACTGTACAAGAAACCGCAGCCGACGCTGCCGAAGGCGCCGAGGACAATGCAGGCACTGTTACCGACAAAGCCGCGGAAACCGCAGCCAACGCCGCCTCCACTGTACAAGAAACTGCGACCGACGCCGCTTCTGGCACCGCAGACGCCGCCTCAGACGCCGCCTCAAACGCCGCCTCGGCCACTCAGGAAACTGCAAAGGGTGTGGTGCAGACGACCACGGACACAGTCAGGAATGCTGCCGCCGCAGTTCTTGACTCCGCCAAAGGAGCACTAGGCGCGGCTCGCGAAAATGTCGCCACCGCTGATGCAGATGTAAAGGGCTGAGCACTCACACAATGGTGCAACCCATAGTAACCAGTAAAACTTTTCGAATAAGAAAGCTCAGTTGGAATCGTTCACTTGATATACAGTAAACAAGCTTGTATTAACTGGAACAAGTGTATCGTCATGTTTTCGCGTACTTCAAAGACCCATTTTTCGAGACGGAAGGCCCCCGAAGCTTGAGATCACGACATTCAGTAGCAAGCAACTATTGCAGCTAGCAGAGAGCTCCTCAAAAAGGGGAATACCTAGGACGTGTAACGATTTTAAGATCTTCCTTGCTCGCCGAAGCGAAACATCGCGAAGGATGTCAAGCCAGAGCAATCCCCGCTTGGTGCCGCTGCCCTCCATACTCTTGCGATAGACACACGACCGCTTCCATTCACTGACTTGCGTCTAAACTCTTTTATTTCTAGGCTAAACATACGGATCTCAGGCCAGGCAGGCGTTGTTTTTCTACAGACGCCAAAAGCGTCCGTGTCACATGAACTTTGTCGAAAGTTGTCGCTCTGCATAATAGCAAAACAAATGTGAGCTATGGTGTTTATAAAAACACGAGGATGGTCTCTGCCGTGATGTGGTCTATCACAGTCACTACAGATATGAAGACCACATCACAAATTGTCATCCTCTTCAGCCCCAATGTCAATCATGGTTCTTTTGAGAGGATATAAAGCAAAAAGCCACCTTCAGACGTGGAATCAGAATGCCGTAGTGTATAATACGTCGAAAGAAGCGCTTAATTCTCTTGAATTTCCGATAGAAACACAAAGGACATCATCGCGATTCTTTCGACGAGGAATCCACGTGCGGAATGGAACCCAGAGAGATCCGATTGACTAGGTTCTGAGGTCGGGTGCTATTGTGGTATTTGTACGGGAAATGTTGAGTGGCCAACGGAATTGTGAAGAAGGATCACACGTACTGTGGGTTTATCAGAACAAGTATCGACACCGATTGAACTTTCCCTACGCTTCAACATGGGCAAACATCTCAATGACACGTTTTCAAAGAAGCTCAACTATCTTGGGAAGAACCCTTCACAGAATCACCGCTCAACTACGAGAACACGTGTCATATCGGCGATCGGAACTAAACTAGAACGATGTCTTCAGGTCACATTTATTTCCCGTCAACATTGCTCTCTACGTCCGTGACACGTCTTT